CTTTTCCCCCTTTCACTCCTTTCGCCCTCATTCTCTTTCCACCTGACTCACGTCTGCATGTTTCCACCATGAAGGAATAGTTGAGTTAAATTTCACTTGTAAGCACACAGTCTGTGGTGTTTGTGAGATTTCCACAGCAGACAATACAATGAGTTCCAGAGACAGCAACAGGAAAATGCTTGGCTTATATATTGTACTTAACTGTTTACCTTTGGGTAAACTCAATGCATCTGGTGCTGTGTGATGAAAACACACACTAGGAATTATTTTATTGTATTGTCCCAGGTCTGGTGAGGAACATAAATAAAGGTAAGATGGTTTTAAGAAATGGGGTTCCACTGACAACTTTCTTTCTATCGATCTATCTTTCTTTTGACCCTTACATTTGATCCTTACAATTTAATTAAACATTAAACATCCAAATTAATTGTCACTCGCAATGTTGCATTTCTAACACTTTTGAAAGCTGATGAAGCAGTGACACTGGTCTGTAATTAGAGAATTCATATCTATCAGAAGCCTTTTACAAACCCCAGCATTCAAAGACAAATTACAAATGTACAGTAGCAAGAAAAAGTAAGTGAGCCATTTAGAATTGCCTGGTTTACTGCATTATTTGGTCATGAAATATGATCCGATCTTCATAATTATCACAATTATATATTTTTCATGTTCAATAAAGACAGGGAAAATGACTTAGATGAGGATCGGAGTTTGTAAACACTGTAGCTTGCCTGTTGCAGTACTCCAGAGATTAGTGGAAGTGGAAGCATGAAAACCAGGCTCTCTTTCTCTCTTTCTCTCTCTCACACATACACCAGTTGCTCTGTCCATGTTCCCACTAATCTCATGGTGATCACAGCATCCTGTTTCTGGTGATTAGCACTGCACCCCTGTCAGCTGGACTAAATACAGGCTGCTTTAAGCTCTTTGGTCCCCTAAGGCCAATGATGATTTATGCAGTGAAGCAGTGTGGGAGGGTTTAATAAGCACTAGCATAGGGAGAAGGCAATATGTGTAGCACCATGGGGGGAAGACATTATGTGTAACACCAGAGTGCCCTCATTGTGATCCCCACTGTGCTAACAGTCCTGACTACATGGCATGTGAGAGTAGGATATTATCATAAATCTGCAATGATCACTGATTGGCTTTTTGTTTTTCTCTTTCTCCCACCCTCTCTCTCTTTGTGTGTGTTCTTGTACTTGCTATATAGTGAGGACCAAAAAGTTTTTTTTTGTTTGTTTTTTTTGCTACAGAGTGAAGAATTTTTTAGAAAGTGAGGACATTTTGGCCAGGTGAAACACCTTTTTGAGGGTTAAGACTTGGTTTTAGGATTCTTGTTGGAATTAGATTTAAGTTAGGCTTAGGGGAAGGATTAGAGTTAGGCATTTAGTTCTGATGGATAAAGTTAGGGTAAGGGGCGTGGACATGCATTACATCAGTGTGTCCTCATAAAGATAGAAGTACAAATGTGTGTGCTTTCAAATACATTAGAGAGAAACCTCTATGACCCTTTACAGAAAAGTGTGGCTGCTATTTGAAGTCCCTCCAATAAAGTCTCACGTGTCTGCATTTGGTGAAGACATATAGATTTTAAAAAGCCACAGCAGAAGATTTATTATATAGGAAGGTGAAGTATGTGTCTGCATGAAAAATTTAAAATATTCACTAAGGCTTCTAAGTTTGCTATTAAAGGATGTTGGCACTTTTCCTGACAGCCTTTTGTGACTTTTCTTGGAGACTCTCAGCAGGAGTGTACAAAGTTACTGTACCCATTTGGTTTAAAAATAAAAAACAGGAGCACAAAGAATGCATATAGTATTTTGTAGTTTTAAAATGCAAGACAAAGTTTTTAGCCTGATAATCATTAATGAAGTGTAGCCATTTTGCTACACTTCATTAATTTTTATTTGACTCGCTGAACAAATCTGAGATGGGGAGGCACAAACTGGCTTCTAGGTTTTACACCCTGCAAAAAGTGTTGTTTTTTTTTTTTCTCCATTGTTCCATTAGTTCAGGTTAAGTCCACAGTGTATCATTATCCTTGATTAAATGTTAAAGTTGCTTAGTGAAATGTCACAGACTGCAATTAAGGATTAGCTTTTAAAATGCTGTCGGCATTGTTAGAGGAGTAGAGGATAAAATGTTGCTACAAAAAGTGTAAAAGTTATGCTATCTAGAGATCTGTTTTCAACTATGTGACACAATTAATGCATTATTTTTAACTTGTACTTTGTGTCTTTTGTGACTTTTTTTCAAATTTTTTAATATAGTTTCTTAACATTCTGAGTAAATTTGATCATTTTTATTTATGGCATGAATATTGTATAGGTCATAAACACATTTGTCCCATTATTTTTGGTGTACATGAAAAATAGTTCATGATGTTAAACGGAGCTGGTCATAGCTCTTCTTTCTTCATTAGCTGTGTTGTTGCTGTGTTTAGTTAGACACACCGGGTTTTTAATCTGATTGGCAGGACTGACGGACACTGTAGGCCACACAGAGACTCAACTCATGTACCAGAATAACTGCTTGCACTGATTGCCAGCATATTTGTGATGGTGGATGTTCTTGTTTATGTACAATATGTGAGCCTTTGATACACGTCTGTGATGACTGACTTATTTATAGTTAGAATTTTTTGGTTGAATTTAAAATTAATCTAATTTTTATTGATATGGTTTCTTTCATCCTTAGATCCGTAGACAGGGAGGCATTCAGCTGCTGGTCGACCTACTGGACCACAGGATGAGCGAGGTTCACCGCAGTGCCTGCGGAGCCCTGAGGAATCTGGTGTATGGCAAGGCCAATGATGAGAACAAAGTGGCCCTGAAGAACTGTGGGGGGATTCCTGCCTTGGTCCGCCTGCTGAGAAAGAGTGGAGATGTGGAAATTAGAGAGCTGGTCACAGGTACAGTCTTTTGTGGCAAGCTTCCACCTCATTTCCCTGGCATATCATGGTGTAGTTATTTTGCAGCATGACGAAGTCTCTATGGTTTGATCAGGAAAAGTTGCAATGTTGTGTCTGTGTGTTATGCACATTTTTTATGTTAATGTGCAGACAGTAATTTATATGTGGTGGTGAGAGGATCAACCATACGGCTACACACACATGCACAGACACACGCCCACACCATATCTGGGTATTTTGTGTACATATGCAAACCTTGCCAGTACAGTACAAACAAGGCAACAATGTTTCTAACCAAGACACAAAATATTTCTTTGTTTCTTTTAGTTTGTTTTCTTTAATTATCTCATTGCCATCATACTTCTTGTTTCTTGAATCTAGAGGGCTACTGCGTGACTACAACTCTTCTGGTTCATTTGAATTGTCTGTATTCAGTAAATTAAAAATGTTTAATTCTCTGGTACCCACTTATGCCACTCTTGCATACACATAACCAAAGTGTATGCTTGTCTCATTTGGCCTTGACGGTGTTAGTATCTGTTTAGTTGGCCGAGTGAATTTACTTCTTTTACTTCTGAGAATATATACATTTAATTTTCACTGACAGAAAATTATTCAGTTTTTATATATAATATTTACTCTGCAGAGACCAAGGCTGTTGATGTTGAGCTCTTTCAGATGCCAAACATTTCAACATTCCATGTGAATGATATTTAATATTCAAACACCAGACAAATAGGTATTCAAAGCTATGACTTCTGGAAAGAATGCAGGGGACACACTGGTTCAGCCAGCAGTGTTTTTGAACATAATTTCTTTTTACAAGTATGTTGTTGTGTCCTCTCCTTTCTCTTATATATCAGATGATAAAGTGTAATTCAGTATAAGTTTGCGTGGGCATGTGTGTGCCTTTGTATTACTTACATTATGGGGAACGAAACATGTTAACACACTCACATTGTGGCGACGCAGCCTTGAAAATCATTGAATTCTAGGGTGACAACATGTTTAAAGGTTAGGGTAAGGTTAAGTGTTAGGGTCAGGGTTAAGGTTCGGCAAGTAGTGGTTATAGGTTTGAATAGGTCTATAGGAAGTGAATGCAAATCATTGTAAAGTCCCCACAAGGAATGAAAACACAGCATGCCTGTGTGTGGGTGTCCACCTAACATGCCAGTTCTCACCAAGAAGTGCAGTGTTGTACAATTGATGGTCAATCTTGTTTTAACCTTGAAGGCATGAGCAGCAGAAGCCAGCCAGTGTAGTTGACGCACACACAAACAGCAGCCCCCACAAACTTATAAATGCACATGCGCGTGCATGCACACACACACACACACACACACACTTATGTACAGTGCATATTGTGATGATGTACACAATCTGTGTGGGCAAAAGATGTATAGATTAATGCTTAACACCCACATAAGCACACACACACACACACACGCATGCAAACACATTACATGAGCTGATATAATTCTTCTTCTTTCTTCCTCAAATGTTTTTGCAATATGCCTCCCACTAAGAATTTAATATTCTACTAGAGGCCCTTTAGTGCTGCAGAAAACACTAACATATGCACTTCGTCTTTCTCTGTCTCATATAAACACAGATGCTCACACTCACACACACACCACCTCAAACATGTATATAATCTCAATCTACAGATATTTTCCAACATGACATTGGTTCTACACCATGATAGAGATGATGTATCATTTTCTCTCTCCTCCTCTCCTCTTTTGTCATTTCCTTTGTCCATGTACATAGTTTTCCATGTGATTCAGTGTGGCCACTGAGGTGGCAAGTTTATATCGTATCTGCACCTTCATCAACTTTTTTCAGACAAAGGCCTTCTTTGTGGCACCTGGTGAGTCATGAGATAAGGGGAACATGTGCAAACTCCTACAAGACAACTGGGCATTTCAAAAGATAAAGTTGTACACACCCAGGCATATTCAAAGTGAAAGAAATACACATAACCACACATGAAGCCCGCCCCCAAGGACACAGAATACAGTGATAACGTCAGTGGGGTCCCTTCTGTTCAGTTTGATCTCTGACCCCACTGTCCCCTACCAGGATGAAGCTCATCTTCACGCACACACACATTTACACATCCATCTTTATACATATCCCCATAGGTCACATGCTCTCCAAGGAGACGGGGACGTACTGGATCACAACAATGACAGTCAGTAAGCTTGCAAGGAGCTTTGCCTCTGCCTTTACAGACACATACTGATAAGAGCCCACTGGAGACTGGTGGATAAAAAATGAAGGATGTGGGAGAGGAGAGAAGGAAGGAGGTGTTATATATCCAGATCGTTTAACTGTTACTGACACCACTATAACAGCTTGGATGGACAGCTTGAAAGGGAAGGGCAAACAGAGACATGCAGATGGATGAAGAAGGAAGAAATGCTGAGCATAAACAGGACATGCTATTTATACTGTTGATGGTGAAATACAATGAGAAGAATGGGAGTGAGAAAAAGAGGAGTGACCAGTCTGATTTTATCAATCCTTTATACTCTTTTAATCTAATTCAACATGTCAGTCATCCCCATCATTACAACGAGCATGCAGTTGACCTTGTACTTTGCAGTGACTGACCACAAGAGAGTGTACTTCCACGTACACACACACATTAACTCACTCCCACCCGCCTGTCAAACTTTTAATGCATTAAACAGATTTTGTAGTACCCAGGAACACCAAGGCCTCACTGTAGAGCAGCGGCTCAGTGTTTTTAATAGCAACTGTAAAAGTATTGTAAATTCTATTGCTCCTGCCAGGTTAAAAAATAACAAATAAATAAAAACAATTTTTAATAAAAAGGCATAAATCTTCCTCTCTTCCAAGGCTAAATGAAAAACTAAGGAATTTTAAGAGACAATGCAGGAAGGCAGAGAAGAAATGGAAGAAAGATGATAACAGTGAGTCTCTTAAACACCTCATGTCCTTTACCGGCATGAAGGTCATGTGTTTCTCAACTGATGGTCAATCAAGGTCATAATAAAGGAATTCTCCTCACAGCCATAAACTGATACAGTGCTCTGCTGTAAAGCTCTTAACACGCTAAGAGAAGTGGCCACATCAAACCAGTCCTTGCTGCCCTTATGTAAAATTCTAATTCAAAGGTAATGGGAAGTAGCCAGCAATCCTGCATGCAAGGTGCTCTGGGATGCAAAATAATATGGCCCAGCTTCCCAATAAATGATATTCTAAGTGGACGGTTTTTCTGGTCAGTGTCACAAAACTTCCCAAATGTACTATCATGACCTACTGTATGTTCTCTGATTGCCAATTTATAATACCCACATACACCATAGCAGGAAATCCAGACTCAAAACACAGTGCAACAACCAAAGGTAACCGTGGAGAAGCACTTGCCATGTGGTACACCGGCAGATATTAGGCAATTCCTTTTGAATAGCCAGCACATCCAAATGTCACAGTTCAACACCGCTGCTATTAAGCTGAGGAGAAAAGAAGAATATTGCATGAAAAATAATAAGAGACTTAGAAAAGATCAGATCACTAACATCTAATCATTCCCACCATCTTCTGTGTACAGTTGCTGTTCTATAAAAGTACTTTTGCTTTTACTCCAGATGAAGAAGTAAGAATGTTTACCAATAAAAATTATAGAAAAAATATTTACAGTTTTATTGATGCTGAGCTACAAGTGATGACACTGGCACCTGGAAGTATAACACTACAGTGCTGGAGAGACTAAAAGCTAGGAGATGGAGTGAGTATATTTGTGTATTTGTGTGTGGTCTCTAAACAGATCAACAAATAAATTAAATGCACTGCAAGTCCTAGTGTATCATATTTCGAGGCCTGAGTTCAATAAATAATCGTTTCAGACAGTAAAATTCAATTTTTCTCTCCCTTTTCCTAACTCTTCCTGTCTTTTTCCTTTTCTGACTGGATCTCCCCTGCTATTACCATATTTGAAAGTCTTTTCATTTGCTTTGTGCTGTAATTATCCACTTGAAATTTTAGTGTAATTAGTAATTTTATTAAGTATGTGTTGTCATAATTTACTGTCATAAATACAATAGAGAATGAGGTAAGATTGTTCTCTGCTGCAGTGGTCAAGGCTGTGGAATAATCATTTAACAACAGTCTTCTTTGAGATATTCCTGTGCTTTCCCAGTGTGGACTTTTGTCATTTTTTTATATAATGCCACCTAACTTCTGGCTTTGCTCTTGTTGTAATTACTATGACTGCTAGAGGTCACCTATATAGCACATTACTGTTGGATGTAATAACCTGCTCCCCCAAACCACATATGGACTCATTTTTCCAGAAGGACAGTCTCATTATTTCTGTTGTATTTGCATGAGCTCAGTCTCAAGCACAGGTTCTAAAATTTCTGTTGCCATAAAGTGTCAATTAAAATAGCGAATACCTGCACACAGTGACATCAAAAATGTTGTTCACCTCCAGGTTTGCTCTGCAAATACAAAAGCAGACAAAAGTCAAAATAAAGACAGGTCTTTAAATATAGAAGCTGATTTAGATTTCATAATATCTAATAGGCCAAGTGCTTTTGAATTTTACCTAAATCTTCAATTGCTTGACTCAAAAAAGTGGTTGTGCTGGAGTCTTAACAAATCAACATTCTCATTACTACCTCTGTATTGTCAGCTTTGTTAATGTAGCTTCCTATTCCCTATTCAACAATTTCCCCAATTTGCCTGTTGGCTCCGAGGTTTAAATTTATACAATCTTCATTGGCTTCCTCGGTCTCAGTGTGAGGTTTATAGGTTGAAGTCGAAGCTTCCGGGCCTGTCAGTCAAAATGTGGTCAATGCAGAGGCCTTTTGTGTCAATAGAAGATGCTATCTTTGGGGGGGGGAGGGGGCTAACCTTGAGGCAGTGAGCCATGGCACAGCCCTGCTACAGCTGCTGCTGCCTCCTCTACAATTGTTGCTGAGCTAAGAATCAGCTTTTGAGGAAGGTCTTGTGTTATAAATGTCGGTATT